TTATTAGGTATAGAAAAAATCCCAATTCCATGTTACATACTTAATGTATTCTGTATTGTAAATCAACATTAAAATTTCAGTACATATTCCACCCACTTGTATTTTACATTTTGAAGACAAAATCATCACTGCTTCTCAAGGGAAAAATACAATTTGTAATCAAAGTACTTTTTTTAACAGATAAAATTGTAGCTATGCTTGAGGGATTCCAGAGCAGAAGTAAAGCTCAGTCAATAGCACTTGTTTGTCAGGTATATCCAGTTTTTTTGAGATTACAGTAATGATAATGTCTCTTGTTTTAATAGTGTCAAGTTTTACCATATATTTCATTCTTGTTAATTGTCACCATTGCCATGTTCATGCACTGATCTTGTCAAATAAAGAGTCTCATCTAATTCTTAACAATGTCACCTAACAAAAAGATCAAAGTTTCAAATGATCCATCATGTAACTCATCCACTCAGTAATCACATCTCAAATGGTGTGCAAACAGGACATACTCTTTCATACTACTGGTGTAGCTGGCATTATGCCCAAAGAGAAACCACTAAGTAATTTTTTTTAAGTTTACAGGTTAAGAAAGTAATATCGTCTTTAAGAAATTATTGCGATAAATTTCTCAGTTTATAAGATCACTATTAAGTAATTGCTACTGCCACTGTTTTAATACCAGGGAGGACCTGGCTTCTTCAATCCAGTGAAAGGAAAGATGTTCACAAAAGCTAAATTTAAACAAGATGAGGAGATTAAAAGGTATCCCCACTTTATTCTCCATACATGTAACTAGCTAACATATTTAATCAGTAAAGTTCTCAGTGTATAGGTTCTTGAGTAGAAACTTATGTATAGGCTGTACCATACATCTCAATCTGAAGATATTTTGTTACTGAGAAGGATTACTACCCATAAAATCATCTTAATGAAGTGTGAGAAATAGAAACCCATTACCAGATAACATTTTGAAAACCCAAGGTTTCCATGTAGTAATTTAGGATCAGAATAACAGAAAAATGTATGATTTGATTACTCCATATCTGATTGAAAAATAACCCATGTATTCAACTGATACATTGTTGGAGCTTTCTGTGCAGTTGAGAGGTATTTCTGCCATATCTGATGCCTAAATTAACATCCTGCAATTTCCACTCTGCTTTCACTTAATTTTTACAGTTTTTGGAGTAATCTTGGTACAAACATGTCAAAACTTGACCCAGAACACACAAAGATCCACATTATTGGCAATAATGTGACTGGAAATGAGAAAGGAGAAAAATTATTGAAGTTTCTTTCCAAGGAAATGCAACCATCAAAAGTCAAGGTTGAGTCACCATTAGAATTTGGACAAGCAGGTGAGTGGTTATTTAGACTTCACAGCTGGGTATTCTCTCCAAATAATCCATCAGTTAATCAATCTATGTACTTTAACTGATTATGCAAGCTACATGTAAATCTGAGTTGTTATCACCAGATCTGCTTCCCTCTTGTCTGATATGACAAGTTTTCTTATAGAATAAATCCAAGATTGGATTGTTTTACTCATCTACTGGTATAATATTTTAAATTTCATTCTTTTACTTAAGAGACATAAACTTGTTTGATAATGAACCCATTACAGAAAAAGACCATTGATGGGAAACCTTACTCAATGAATTCTGTTCGTTACAATGAAAAAAAATTAAACTTAGGACAACTATTTGCTTTTTGAATCAGATCATGTTTAGACACAAATAACTGAGCCTGACCAGCTCAACTTTTGATTTTTCCTGCTCTGGTTGGTCCAAAGTGACATTTTATAATAAAAGTCATGTTAATCTGAGATGTGGCCCTATAGTGTATTGTCACATTGCTTTATACTGCAGAGAAGACTTTTGAGATGTTGAAAAGTGCTTTAAGTTTTACTACTAAAGTACCTACAATTAGACAAAAATACCATTGTGTAAGAAAATGTGAGAAAATAAAATTCAAGTAAGCTAACTGATTTTCATTGTATTAGTAGTAAGGAAATTATGCTTTCTTTTTCCCTTTCTCTTTTTAATTTTAGGTAAAGAAATGCTGGCCCTCTATTTTGATCATGACAAGTACAGAATATGGAGAAGCAAAATGCATTCCAAAGTTTCATTTACCCTTTGACTTTTTTAACCCTACAATTGTGTAGTTTCCCTCCTTTTGGTCTCATTTGTTATGCAAGTTGATGTATCATGTTCATACAACACACTAAATAATAAGTTATTATTTATTTATTTCGCATGGAATTTTTCACTTCAAAATTGAAATGATACATTGTATTCCATACATGTAAGTTAAAGGTTGGTCAGTTCAGTAAATTTGTCCATTCAGTCAGCCATTGACAGGGATGTCAATGTTTTGCTTCAATGTAATATTTTTTAAACTACCAGTAACCTATATAACCTATAAACCCTTCAGTTCCCAAGATCTTATCCATAATTCCCTGTTCTGGTTGTTACACATATCTCAGTAAACTGGCTCTGAGAATTGGGTGAAACATCAATAGCACCTTACAGGTGATAAGTTTGTTGTTTCATTTTCCCAGAGTAAATTCAATTGTAAGGAGAAGATATGGGACTTAACGTAAGATCCCCTAATTACAAGCCAATAATTATTTTTTAAGTTCAGACTAAATATTTCCCTTGGTGCTTTCCCTAAAACAAAAACATTGAAAGCAAACAAAAAGAGACAATTGCAAACATGCAATAACATCTTAAGCACTTACACAGTTGGAACTTGTTACATTTAACCCTTTGACCACTAAGAATGATTTGCGTCAAATGTTTCCCTACAATATCACCCCTGAATCACAAACTATCGTCACATAGAAATAAAAGAAACAATCACCCTCTAAAGAAGCTCTTGGTTGTTAAACAAATTATACTTGTCAGCTGATGTGCTGATATAAAGGTTTAAAAGGTTAAGCCACACTTCACATTTTCAAAGATCCCCTTCCACCCTCGACTGGAAAAAAAGCAGAGTTATGCGACTACTGCTTCTAAGTGTATGAATAGATATGCAATATTTTGTTTTGCAAGAATCTGACAGATAGATTAATTTTTTTACAATAATATGGAAAGATTGTGACTGATGAGCATTCTTCTCTGGGTCATTACATCCCAACACTTTTTGTTGGCCTCAATGCTTGAAGAGTTTGATTCAAAGAGTACTTTTTAAAAAAAACAGATATTGTATATTTTTTAGTTATTAATACAGGATTACTTGGAAAAATCTAACTCCTGTGTCTCAAGATATTTAATGCTTAACTCTTATGGGTAAATGATAAGTAGCTTCTTTAAGTTAATTGAATAACTTAGGGTCCCTTCTACTGCACAATTTCAAGTGTCAATTTAAGTAAACATTTCCATAAAGTGGCTTCAATATAACAATGCATTTGAAGTAATTGATTTCCAAAGAAATATCATATTTTCCTTTACCAATATTTTCTTACTATTTAAGAAGAAATCCATCTCTAAAAGGATCATCCTTTTCTACAGTGAATGTGCATTTCCCAGTGTAATATGCATTGCCTGCAACTTCTACGTGAACAGCATCAAAGTCCCCAACCTTAGTTTCCTTCACAGCCTGACCAGTGAACTGTGAACCAACCAGACCTTGCTCAAACACACGCATCTGATGCAAGCCAATTTGTTGGCGTGCATACTGCACTGCAACACGTGCTGTCACTCCTGATCCTGTTGGACTCCTGTCAACCTACAAAACAAGATTTTTGCAAGTTTACTCCACAAAGAAAACTTATTTTATGGAACAGTATTATAAATGCTAATTACTAAATTTTTAACCCTGATTATTGCATTTCTATTTTTCTGATTGTTTCACTCAACTCTGGTTATCACCTCATATTCCAAGTCACCTTTTATAGAAAGCATCATGCCAACTGTTGTGGAGCCAAAAAAAGCTCCAAATGTCCAAAGTTCAGGATTTAATGAAATTCAAAAGAGAAATTATACCATTTGCACTTGTTGGATATGAGATTGGTTATAGTAAACTTGGTGCTATATGCATGTTGGCTATTTACCATCTTATATCCAACAAGCACTCATGAAATAATTGTTCATTAAATGGCTCCTAATTTTGGTCCTATTAATTTTCCTTGTTGCCTTCACTCTGGGTAAACCTCACTCTATCCATGCAACCACACAACTATAATAATTATTCATTGTGCTACATAGTCTCAACATAATTATGTATCATGTCTTTGTAATTGTAGCACCTAAAACTGCAAATGTATTATACAGAAACAGCAACAACAGTTCTATCTGTACCCAGAGTGAGTAAAGACATAAGGTTTCATGATTTCTTACATCCAGGTAACATCAGCATAAAACATGTTTTATCATACAACATACATTAAAATTACTATTTTACTACTTTTAATAAAACTTTTATTCTACTCCCGCTTGTTGGATATGAGAATCTATTATTACCAACTTGGCTCAGCTATCTATCATCTCAAATCCAATATGCACTCATAGAACGATTGTCCACTATATAGTATTAAAGTTTGTTGGTTCACTATGCAACCAGCAAACAGTGCACCTCAGAGGAACCAGTCACAAACCCCCCCTCCCAATCCACCCTTCAACACAACTGATTTGAGGTAAAACTAATCCTATTACAATCACATAACATGAGAAAATAAAAGAAAAAATAACAGGTCAGCCACAATTGATTTAAATTTTTACCCAAACCACAGTAATATATCACTTCAAAACAAGGAAAAAGTTATCTGAAGATCTCCTTTTTAAGACTTTTACTTGAGAAAGCAATCTTATCCCGCTCAAACGTAAAATATTTACTCATAATTAATCCACTTTTTAGTTTTAAGTTGTCAAATTTTCACAGAAATAAGGGAAATTACAAAAGAAGTGATATTTAATTGTGAGGCCAAACTAATTGATTGCTACGACTTGACTGGCTGAATAAGATAATGATTTCCTCCCAAGCAATTATTTCAATAAATAAAATCACCTGCCCGCAAAATGAATACATTATGCATTTCACTAAGTGATCTGGGAGTAACTTGCCATATGTAAATGAACCCTAAAATGGTTTTCACTGACGATGAGAATCCAAATTTTAAAACCGGTGACACCTGCCCTCAGAAGAAGCCATCAGAGATGATACAGATTTCGTTTGACAGCTTAAGTACTCGAATATATCGACCAGAGCTGAAAAACGATCAAGCGATTAGGATTCTTTAAGAAAATGAAACCATGTACTGCACTACACATACATATGTGTACCAAAGATTTTCAAAGTGAAGTTCGAACACATAAAGTACAGAAATTAATTTATAATTTATACTCTGATCACAAGTGTACTTTTCTGAAACCAATTTTTTTTTGCATGATCACTCTGAGCATTTGCCGTTGCAGACAAAGTAGATCTCGCTGCTCTCATTCCTTGCATTTTTCTGTTTATTTATACTAATGATGTTTCGTGCGCGGGGAAATATTAGACAGAGAGGGATCGTGGGTTACTTCCTCGAGCTGAGAAAGCGCAAACAATTGCGCAAAAATTAATAATGCCAACTGAGGATATTCTTCGATCGCAAAGTCAGATACCAAATGAAAACAAAAATAAAATATTTCCAAGTTCCCTAAACGATTGCCCCCACGCTGTTTACATCGAAAGAAATCTGTAAGAACGAAAAATATAGGAAATATTCTCACCTCACTGTCCGCAAAGACACATACATTCGCTGTTGCCTCTTTTGAGTCGCTATTAAACATATCTTTGCCATCGGTAATGATAGTACCATAAAGAAAAGCTAGTTCCTCACTGTCTGGGTGGTGCAGCTTTATTTGACTTTTCCCCGCGTTGGTAATCGCATTAGCAGCTTCCACGATATCAGCGAGTCGCGACGAACGCACATCAACACCCAAACGATGCGCGGGGACTATGGCGTAGAACGCTCCCCCAAATCCAATGTCAACTTTTACTTGGCCAAACTTCTCCGTGTTTATCTCCACATCAAGTCCAAAAGCAAAAGCTGGAACAGAAACAAAACGAACACGGCCCGATTTGCCTTCTTCTATATCGACCAGGGCTTTTACCACGCCGCAAGGACACTCGATGAAGACAGGTACTTCACCCACACTCGAGCGCGATACGTCCGTACTGAGGAGGCCCGAGTCGACAGCGTAGCGACCGAGTGCTATGACAGCGTGGCCACACATGGTGCTGTATCCTTCGTTATGCATGAAAATCACCCCCAAATCGGCCATTTCGCTGTGTGGTTGGACGATCACAGCGCCATACATGTCATAATGTCCGCGAGGTTCAAACATCAAGAGCTTGCGAAGATGATCAAGGTTTTCTCGAACGTACCGTCTTTTGTCTAGAATGGTGTCTCCTTTAATCTCAGGGAAACCAGAAGCGATTATTCTCAGTGGTTCCCCTCCAGTGTGCATCTCGATAGTAGAGATCTCTAAGCCGTTTTCTTCCATCGTGACAACCAGCAACGAAAGATTCGAGTATGTTTAAAGGTGTTCAACTGAGTTGAAAACTGTTGTGTTTGACTTCCGCTGCGCTTCACGCGCGCATGTCCCGCGGGTTAATTGAAGAGGCGGGAACTAATTAACTTCCATGGGTTTCAGGTCATAAACTCTTCACTCTTTTAAAAGCATTAACTCGCCGAAACGTGCAAGAAATCCTCAAATTTTCTTCCTACTCCTCTCCCTTGTTGTCAAATCGCTCTTAGCTCGTTCAAATTTGCTACCTTGTCGAGATATTTCAGCTGTATTGTGTGACATTTAGATAAGTGATTAGCGTTATGTGATCTCTTTTCTTGCGATTTCAATCTAGACAATAGAATCAATTAATCAGCTCATATATCGTCGTTGTCTGGGATTTAGGGTGTGTCGCACTTCAGTGATAAAAAAGAAAATCGGTACGTGATCAAAAAAACAGTGAATAAGGAAAATAAAAAACCGTGAAGTTTTCGAAGGACAGCCTGGTGTTTTTGGCATTCGCAACAACCTTACAAAAATTTATATCGAGAAAAAGCTAAGAAGCGACCCAGTCGCGGCCTTTTCCGCTGTTGCTGTCTCTTTCTTGGTCTTTCCTTTGTCATTTGCAGATTCTGCTGCAAGAAAACGGATGTTCGTCTCCATAAACGTAGGATTACAGCAGGTAGGTTTGCAGCACGCAGGAATATTCTCGGTATTGTACGGTGGCCCAAAGAGGACATGCCACATTTTTTTTTATCGCGGGATAAATGGGAAACTTGTTGGGTCGCACTCGATCGGCTGTCACGCACGTTGTTTCCGTGGACGCGACGACAATGGTTGCAACAGTTGGAAAGTTCTTTCGCAGTCTAGAAATTTACAAACCTGTGTCGGAAACAGAATAATAGCATAGATATCAAATAGCGATTGTGAAATGTTTGTCTGGAAATTTTGTTATTCTTATGTCTGGAAGATTCGTATCTAGCCAATCAGCGTTCTTTTTAACTAAGGTGTCCCGCAAAGATAAGGAACAATTGTCTGTGATTTATTTAGCTTTCAGTCGAAGTAATCTTTCATATAAGTCGAGTCGAGGAGTTGTGACAGTTGTGAAACCTAGCGAGAATAGAAGAGGAGAAGAATAAAAATCTAGTGAAGACGAGACAGTGTGGGCTATCCTTACTAATTCCCCACACCTGCAATGTAATCAGAAAGAATAGATGATCCACACTTGTTCTCAGACACTTAGAGCCATATCCGAAAGTGTCTCTTAAGATTACGCAAACCAAGGTTTACTGTACTGGTTCACAGAGCTATGTGTCGTAGAAGTATTGCAAAGTACTACTCAAGGATCTTTTCACGAAAAAAAAGAAGTATTTACCTCAAGACATTCCTCCTCAACTGTGGCAGCCATTGTAGTCAACGGAACAACGTGCGTGACAGCCGATTACGTAAGACCTAACAAGTGAGACATTTATCGCGAGATAATTTCCATTTATCGCGCGATATTTTGATTTTATCGCGCGATAAAAAAATATGGCAAGTCCTCTATGGGGCCCCGTAGTATTGCGAACACTTTCTGAATCCAATTAAAGCAGAAGTCTGAAATTAAGTCTAGATTTTACATATCAGTGAAAAGTAACGCGCTAACCAAAGAAGACATCCTTTTGATGGCCTACAGTGGTCAGTGCTAGGCTATTGATGGATCTGTGTTCAAGACATGTGCCTCTCTGAACCCATAACTAGGAATCACCAGTTCTACGAATTTTTTATGGGAAAAATGTCTGAAACCCCTGATTACCTCGAAATCACTATTGAAAAACCGATATACTGAACCGGCTGAGACTATCATGATCAGGGGCGTGTTCTCTGCAGTAATTACCAATCACCACCTAAGGTGATCTTTGGCAAGAGATTTTTAACAACTTAATCTATTGGACCTAGCTATTAGGAATTACATCACTACGACATTAATATATGCCAGAACTCCCGGAGTTGCATCATGTGAGATTGAGATTTTTGTAATTCGGAAATCAGCTAGGGTTTCACTCTTTCCTGGGGCATTCCTAAGGGTAAGTTCTGAGTTTTGGGAATTAAGATGTATTAGACGACTAAGATGGCTGACTATTTTAAAGACTTATTATTTTGGAGGTATTCAGATACCTTTTTAATATGTTTTTATATTCAGAAATGAGCAAGTCCTGGTAATGATTCATGAGATCCGCCATATTCTTAGTTAAATGCCACCGAACATTTTCTGAAAAAAGTTCGCTAATATGGAATTAGATTAAATCATGACATTGAAACCAACTCCTTTTAAACAAAATCTAATCTTATAAGTCAAACTTGACCCATGATTAAGTGGGGATCTGGGCACTAGAATATTCTCTCCCTGCCGGCAACGACGGCAGTCTGGTGCGAGATATTTGCATATAATTTTCGTCTTCAGCCCTAGCAGCAATCCGAAGGTGTTGTACTTTAATTTGACAAGGCTGCAATTAAGGGACGAGATCAAGCTCTTACGCAATCGCTCTTGAGACTTGAGGTATCTTAAAATGTGAATTAGATTGATAGAGGTTTTCTTTCACTCTTATTCGACACAAGGTAACGAAAGCAGTGTGGTTCAACCCGTTTACGAGTGTTTGTTGCCACTAAAGGAATATTTGTAAATGTTTGCGACCTAATAGATGTTCAATTTTTGAAAATGTTAGAAGTTTGGTAGAATCACAACTTCGCTAGGTATATGGAAATACCGGATGATGTAACCACGGTTACGAAATCTACAAAAGCGTACATTTAGTCTAGTATGAAGCCAGTTGTAACATGATTAGATGTTATAATTATAACAAAGTGGGTAATTATATGCAAACGCATAAAGCGAATTAAAAGCTTAACCAGGCCTGCCCACTGATGACCAGTCCATCAGACTCTCTCTCATAAGCAAAGGAATATGTCGATTACATGATAATTTAAAAAACATTTTTACCTGGTGTACGTGTAGACCAAGAGATTATAAACCGTAGTTTCGAACATAAATAAGACTTCTCTGAAGTTGGAGATGAACTTCATTCGTATGTCTCACGATGGAGTCACTTTGGATGTTGATTGCGACGTTTCGACTGCAACACTGCAAGTCTTCATCAGGCGAAAGAAGAGTGATAAAGACTAGCAGTGTTGCAGTCGACAGGTCGCAATCAACATCCAAAGTGACCCCATCGTGAGACAAACGAATATAGTTCATCTCCTATCTTACAGCACGATGAACAAAAACCACATATTTTAATACGTTCTCTGAAGTAGTTGACCTGTCACGCAACGATTCGGCCGACAACCTGAAGGTTTCCCCTAGCTGTGTTAAAACCAAGACAAAGAATCTTTTAGCCCTTCTTTAAAATTAGAAAGAATAAATTGCAGACTTAAGAATATATTTATACATCTGTAAGTGATGAAAATGCAATTTATTTAAGGAGCAGAGTTAAGGTTTCGTCCTGTCGTGATATTTATTGTCGTTCATCTTTCCCTAGTTCCAATACGTTTGAAAATGGCATCCTCGAGCACACCTGGAACAGCGGGACAACTCGTTAAACCAGAGTACAGAAACTGGCTCGCTCTTGGTCATGCCTTAACGACAGTCCTTTGTCATGGACTTCGTCCGTTTATTACGCGAGAGATGGAGGCTTTCTATAGGAATTTAACGGCAAGAGTTGCTGGGCCCTGTACGTGTGTCCATGTCTCAAGAAGAAGGCCAAATGAGTTCCACGATATGACTACATGCCCATGGGCGAACATACTTGAAGTCTATCACCATAAAAACAAACCAAACTGGAGGCAAAGTGATCCAGCCAAATGGATGGACCCAGTTCTTGGTCCGTGGGAGATTGCGAAACTCTTCCTTCCTGATCTGGGTGGACATGCTGATATCAAGAGTGCAGACGACATGGACGTCACTGGTATCTTAAACCTAGTGAACTGGTGCAATCACTTCACCATTCCTCAGGCTTTGATTAAAGATGTCCGCAGCACTCGAAACAGATGGTGGGGGCATGTTCCGAGGCTTGAGTTGACCGATGCAGACAAAAATGTCGCCTTTGACTTCATTGAAAACCTCCTGAAGACTCCTCAACTAGGTTCAGATCCAGACGCACAAAAAGCACTCGCAGAAATTGTAAATCTTAGAAGTATTTCAAACTTGCACAGTTTCGAGGCTCACGTTTTAGGCGAGCTCATAGAGGTGTTGAAGTTCAAGACAACTCATATGGCTGAATTAGAACAGATGAAAAAACTGATGTTTCTTTTGGAAAAGAGGTTGGAAGACCTGGAGCGAAAGGAAGTCTGTTTGTCACTTTTCCACTTAACGCGAAATACTTTGAAAATCGTGCACAGCAATCTCGTAATAAATCTCAAAGGGATCAGAAAGACTATTTTAGTAATGTGGCTGGTAATGGCTTTCTCTTTCTCGTTCTTTGTAGTAGAGCTGGACGATGATTCTTTTATCAGAGGTAATAAGTTGTTTTAAAAAGTTTCTATTAGTAACTTTATCTCCGTTGCGTGAGCCGGTTAAGTTAAGATAATGATTCGTTCCCTCTTTGAGGCTTGTTTGACAAAGATTCAGGTCAGTGTTCAGGATATACTAACAAAGTATCTTCTCCAATTTACATGTGGTTATACAGCTCTTAAATCGTTGTTTATGATTAATTTCCTTCCTAAAATTTTAAAAACCCTGCCTAATGTTTTCGTCATGCATATGAAGTGAAATCAGGAGCCTAACCATAGGTTTCATTTCCCGTTTTAATGACGCAATCAGTCGTCATGCAGGACACTTAATCAAGTAGCTAATGGGCCCTAGACCCTCTTTGAGAACATCAAACTTCAAAGGATGTCCTGGTCATCTTGTCATAACTAAGTTTAGACACTTGAGATACCCTTCACTGGTCGATAAGGATAACAACAGTTAATTTTTTTTTCTGGCAGGTTGTCCTTCGGAAGATCTTAGTGTCCCATTTGACACAAAAGAATTTGTTTGGTTGGATTACTTAAAAAGTGCCAAAGAAGGGTTCATTGGCCGCAGCTGGCTTTTTCGAGAACTAGAATCTTCTTTCCATCACACGGTTCATGAAAATAATATAACTGGTGTCCTAATAATTGGGAATCCAGGAACTGGAAAATCTGCTCTGTCTGCCCAATTAGTTTGTTCCCGAACATCAAGTCGCATCATCAACGAACGTATTTTAGGATACCATCTTTGTAAACATTCTGATAAGAATACACAGACTGCAGGAAAATTTGTTCGTAACTTAGCAGATATGATAGCAAGGAGAATACCAGAGTATGGTTTCCTTGTCTCCAATAGTTCCCACATCATGCGTTCACTGTACACTGACTGTGTAACCATTCAAGATCCAGTGGGCTGTTTTGAGCAAGCGATTTTGACACCCTTGAAAAGCCTATCTAACTTGCCAAACGGTAACTGGTATATTGTCATTGATGCTTTAGATGAATGCTTGACCCAAACAGAAATGCGGCACAGTATTATGTTTTTGCTCAAATCCAAGATTCCTAGGTTTCCATCATGGCTGAAGCTTGTAGTAACATCTCGTAACCAGTCAACCATTTCTTTTCATGCAGGCTACATGAAGAAATTAATTATTCACCCTCAAGACGATCGTAACTACCAAGACATCGAATTGTTTTTGACCACAAAATTTTATCGTGATGGTCCTCTGATTCATAGGGTAAATTCTTTGTTCGGAGACAGTAGCAAACAAAAGATTGACAAGTTGATTGATGCCCTGTTAAACAGAAGTCAGGGGAATTTTTTGTTTGTTAAAGAGATGATTAAACACTGGGAAACTTCAAGAATAACAAGAGATGATCCCTACGCTCTGCCTAATACACTTGAGGATTTGTTTCATAGTTACTTCCAAAGATACTACGGTGGGCGAGATAAGTTTAAAGCTGTACGACGCGTGCTAGAGCTACTCGTGGCAACATTTCAGCCACTGACGGAAAAAGAAATCTTTCACGTTCTAAGAACGAAAGAACCAGACCTGGATGAGGAATACGATTTTAAAGATAGAATTAAACCAATTGAACATTTCCTTACGTATGGAGAGAATGGTGTGGTAACGTTGTATCACCAGTCTTTAACGGAATGGCTCACTGGCGACAACACTGGAAACGAGCCATTCTTCGTGAGTAAAAGGAAAGGGCACGACACGTTTTGCGAATTTTATTTCAAAGTAATTTCTGAGGGTGATGGATCAGCTATATCAAAATACAGCTTTACTTTGGCGAGGCATATTGCTTATGGTGCGGAATTGAACAAGTTATACGTGAGAAAATTTTCTACCTTCCCCTCGGAGTTTGTTAATTGTTCAGATTCTAAAAGCCTTAGGACATCACTGCACCTTGCGGCTACAATAAACAACACAAATCTTCTGAAACTTTTTTTACCTCATTTTAGCTACGTCGATTCTGCTGATAGTCATGGAATGACACCTGCATTTTTAGCAGCTGAACACGGGCTTTTAGACAACCTAGTTTTTATAATGAGGAAGGGAGTCAATGTAAATCACAAAACGAAGTCACTTACCTCGCCTGATTTTAATTATGGCTATGGCTTTGCTGATGTAGTTCTTGAGTCAAAATCTAAATTCAGAAGTTCTACTATGCTTCATGCTGCAGCTCATGGAGGCCATCTGAACGTTGTCCACTTCCTTCTTAGCAAAGGTGCATCCATCTCAACTTTAAACGATGTTCATCAAACGGCACTCCAAGCAGCTGCCGAAAATGGACATTTGGAAGTTGTTAAAGCTTTACACGAGGCAGGCGGAGTTCCAGATCAAACAGCTTTGTTTCAGGCAGCAACGAAAAATAGGTTAGATGTAGTAAAATACCTTTTGAAAATGGGCGTGGAGGATAAATGTTTGAGATGTGACGGTTCTTTCTACTGGCTGGAGGGGGAGACCCGGCTACAGACTCAAATTAAACACTTAAAAATGAGTGTGTTATTTGAAACCCAAGAAATGTTGTATGGCGAGCTATTCGACGACAAACATTTAATTTTTTGTCAAACTGCACTCTACGCATCAATATCGTTTGGTTATAAAGAGGTCACAAAGGAACTAGTTGCTAGTGATAAGCAGGCTTTAACCTGTCATGATTACACAGGAAGGACACCTTTGCATGAAGCCGTTCGAAAGAATGACAGAGAAATAGTACAATTCCTGCTGATGGAGGGACACGCAAAGATTGATTCAACTTGTAACCATTGGCAAGTTGTATCAAATTTAACCTTGAGTCGTGAAGAATTCTCCGAATACGTCAGGGATGTCTGCCATTGTGGTTATACTCCCCTTCATTTGGCAGCGCGCTATGGGTACCGAGAAATTGCGGTTTATCTTATAAAAAGCGGGGCACGGGTTGAAGCTCAAGACTGCTTTGGAGCGACTCCAATTCACATAGCTGCTTGCCATAATCATACGAAAGTATTGCATGTCCTTCTGGAACTCGGTGCTGAGATCAGCAGCAAAACGTTTAACGGGTCGATGCCCCTTCATAGTGCTGCAGCATGCGGTGCCCTTGAGACGATCGATCAGTTACTTCATTATGGGGCAATCCTTGACGCTGGTGACGATAATGGCCTTACCGCGTTACACTATACTATACTCAACGTAAATTCTAGTAATGTTGAAAGGCGATTCTTCACCGATGTCAATGGGATGGTAACTGAACGTAGAGGTCATCTTGCTGATTTTTATCTGGACGAAAACAACAACTTAAAAAACACGGACTTTTACAGATGGTTAGATGTATTAATCAGGTTGTCCCTTCGAGGCGCTAATATTAATGCGGTCGATGTCTTCGGTCGAACAGTTTTGCATATAGCAGCCGCGAACGGATTGGCGGATGCCGTAAACGTACTCTTATTGAGGAAGGCTAAACTTGAAGTGCCTGACAAAACTGATCATACGCCGTTAGACCTAGCAGTAAAAAACTCCTCTCCCCCGCCAGAGGCATCACTTTTCTTCGATGAAAATAGTCCACAACAGCTTCGACAACATTTACGTGATCACGGAATGGTCGTCTACCTTCTACTCGCTAATGGTGCATCACTGAAGAAATGCGATCATCGTAGTAAGAGTCTGTTACATCATAGCATTCTTAATGGTGAGCCTTACATTGCGCAGCTTCTGTTATTTTTGGGAGCTGGTATAAACTGCAAAGAGAATAGCGAAACAACAATTCTCTCAGCTCTCCTTCTTCGTGGTCTCAATTGGGCTCATCTGGCTCTTAAACACCTTCACGGACCTCTTACGCTTGAATGTGGAAAGCCATTTAACACTTCGGTTTTTCATTTAATTTGCTACAACTCTCCAAGAATGGAATACTATAACTTTTTCCAACACATCTCGTGTGATGATCGTACATGTTCATCAAAGAATGGACCATTAATTACGGCTATTGAAATGCATCGTCTGAAGTTCAAATTAATCGATTCCTGTTTAGATGCCGAAGGATATTCACCTTTACAAAGAGCTGCACAAGGTGCAAACTTAATTGCAGTTCGTAACCTCATAAAGCATGGTGCTAACGTTTCCTTATTGAATCCACATGGACATGACGCCTTAACTATGGCTCTTCTCAACATGAGGTTAGACGAAATCGCAGACAATCATGGTATATCTGCAATGATAGAAACTTCTGCTGTGGCACTGGAGCTCCTTCGCCACAAAATGAGACGTGGCTTTCAAATCGTGTGTGATTCCAGTAAAACTGAACTTACCCTGTACCATTTGGCAGCCTCCCGTGGACTTATAAACTTCATTCATGAGATCTTTAAAAATAAGAAGCTTCATCAGTTAGATGTTAATTGTCCTAACAAGGACGGAGTGACTCCAATATACCTGGCAAAGATATTCTGCGGCTCCTTCGGGATAAATGGATACTTCCTGTGGGACCACGTTGTCCAGTTCATTGAAAACCAAGGGGGTAAGATGCAATATCCTGGCAAAGATGCTGAATACAATGTAATCTACAACAGGTTGTATGGTGGGATTCCGACGGAAGTAAACCCACATTTAAGGTCCGATGTTCGTTACTTTGTCACTGGACTTTTGTCGGCTCTTAGTTATAGGCAAAGCCACACTATGGACTGTAGGTCTATTAATTTATTACACTTTAATAGACTTGCTCATGGACCACACTTATTTAGTATTTTAATGGAATTTCAAAGGGAATTGGTGTTTTTAAAAGTTCAAAGTTTTCGGTCAACAATACCTGAGGATATTTGCAAAAAGGAACAAAAAAGGGTTGATTTCTGTCTTCATGTTTATCTCAAGTATAGAGACGTATCTGTTGAGTCTTCTTCTTCTAAACTGCAATTAAGGCTTTTTCATTTAATGAAGTGGCATGAGGAGGTATTCGGGCTTTTGTCTTGTCTTAAACTTACTTTTCATAAACATCGACAGTATTTTATGGACAAAAAGAAACTGATACACCTTATTAAGCAGTATGAGGGCACTATGTCGTTGCATCATCTCAGCGAACTTTGCATCACATTTGAAGCTGCTTTCACGAGCCATTTATTGCACTATTTCAGGGACGGTGGTGTTGCTGAACTGGGAGTCGTATTCCCTCCAGAATTTTTGAAACAGCGAATGGGATGGGGTAACGGCTTTGTTAAATCGTGGCCAATAAGGTTCCTGGTTAATTTTAACTTAGGTTTCTATCGTCGGTATGATTACTTAAAAGTTCTTAACTCCAGATTAAGATCAAGAAAGCGTACCGCAGTTCATCCATTCACTTAAACAAAATTATATACAAGAATGCAAAAACCCTAAGCAAAATAATAGTATCCCTTCAACTAAGTCAAAATGTAAGAACAGCATCTTATTCGGAAGCAGATGTTTTTTTACAGTAACACTTGAAAATAACTTGAGAGGTAGAAAGTCTCGAACGCATAGAACAGTTTGATTTATATTTTGTGAAAAAATCGCGCAATTTAAACGACATCAACTCAAAACGTTTCTCGAGTCGTTGCTTTCAAGGTTATACATTGCATCCTCGAGTAAAGAACCTCGTGCACACTTTTAGATAAATCTTTTTTCTCTTCAGTGAATTTATTTTTTTGATTCAGGTTCTCCAATTTAAAGGAATCATTTTTAAAACAAATTATGCAGTAAAAAATGTAGGTCAACGCTGTCGTTCAAAAGTTAAAGACCATTCTGCCCTTTTGCCTGGTCCATTGATTGTAAAATGACACCATGTTCTTGGAATGTGCGCGCGCTTATTCGCCTGATTACGTCATTTTTATGCGCAAAGCGGGTTTTTGAAGAGGAAGGGTTAATCTTTAATTTAAGCTTAAAAAGGGGAAGTTTGAGAAAGTATAAGGACTATTCCTGAGCCTTTGAAAATGACGAAAAAACGGACATTTTTAGTATGAAGGCCGATTTCAAAAGCGATTTTTCAAAAACTCAAACCGGCTTCCAAAAACCCAAGAGCGGGAAATAGAAGATGGATCTTTCCTGAAACAGAATCCGTTTTAACTTGGAAAATTGGTGAACGACAACCACTATTCCTCGCAGTTTTAAAATTTGTAGTCGAAGTTCCTTTCGAAAATGGCGCGTTTCGAGTTCGACACTATTGCATGTTTTCAGCCCACGCTTGAATAACAATGGCTGTCAAAACTAAACAATGGCTTATTCAAGAAAACCTCTCAAAAAATGGTCGTGATCGGGAGCTCTTTCCAGAGCTCATAGAACCCCCGATCCACCCTCATCTTCTACAAGTAGTTCCACCTTTTCTTGAGGAAAGCAATCCAGTGTACATTATTCAAATGAGCGGTGAAGCAGCCTGGAAATGGAGAGTGTTTTACTGTCTGCCTCTTAGAGTATTTGATTTACTCCAGGCGAGCATCCTGCCTCTCGGCTACAAGCTTAATGAATCCTCCTGCGATCGCGATGGTCGCACAGTCAGCAAAAATATAAGGAGATTTAAACGCAAGATGGACTCAATTACAAGCGGTAAACAGAGGCAAAAAGTACGAGCCGAGACGTGGGTTAAAATTACAATAAACCCCGAGGAGATCGCGCTAACACCAAGTGATGTATTGGCAAAGGTGACGAAAGAGAAAAACGACCTTTCGACCACAGTTGAAGAAAAGACCGCCGAGTTATACAATTCAGAGGGTCAGAGACTTACCCACAATGGTAAACACTTTACAGAAGATAATGTCTAGCGCAAGACAATGTTTTTTTGTTACCCTGTGTAGTAGTCGTTTACTCCCCAAAAGAAAAAGGCGAACTAAAACCTTGTGAGACGCAGACAAAGAGAACCCGCACGGGAGCCAACCAGCGTGCAGCTGTTTTGCTCAAACACGACGAGTAGACTAAAGGCACGCAAGTTGTTCTCTTTAACAGGCTGCCTCGTGTGTGACTTTTGTTTTGTTTCGAAGAAACAAGTGTCAGAGTGAGTAACAGACCTCATAACGTCCTATCTATTGTAGAAAAACTGTGCAGGTGGATTTTTCCAATGAAAATCAAATCCTACACGGGTAGTGATAGAACCAAAGCGTTTGTTGAGTTAAATAAAGAAATAGATGAATATGTACCGGACGGTTTCAAAATCGAACGCTATTCCAGGTTGTAACACACACGCACGTAATGTGTGATATTCTTCCAACAATAGCATAAACAATAACTTTCTAAGCAATTGTTTCGTAGCTCCGCCTTGACAGTTAATGAGCTTAAGCAATATTCCCTGAGGAGTAATGAGCGCGTAATCTTCGACCAATCAAAGCTCTGCAGAATATCTTTCGCCGCTAATATTACGGATCTAAAATTTTTTCGCTACTGCAAGTAAATGTCTCGTGAACAGTAGGCATTCTGCGCGATGGCAAGTGTTCTCAAACTTTTGCAAACTCAGATAAAAGTGTTTTCTTTTTCAGCGTGTTTAAAAATTTATGATAAAACAATCACTGGATTCGGTTTTCGCATGACATCATGAATTATCATAAATTGTGATACCTCAGACCTCAGCACTGATAATTCATAATATTATGCTCACGCTCATCCAATAAATACTTAATATGTTTTCGCAGGCTGCCCATTCGAAAATCTGAGTGTCCCATTTGACACAAAAGAGTTTAGTTAGTCTGACTACTTAAATATTGCAAAAGAAGAGTTTATCTGTCGCAGTTGGCTTTATCAAGAGCTGGATTCTGTTTTCGACCATTCGCCGGCTCAAGAAGATAACATAACTGGAGTTCTGATCATCGGAGATCCAGGAACTGGAAAATCTGTCCTGTCTGCCCGGTCAGTTTGCTCCCCTACATCCAGTCTCACCATTCATGAACGGGATATTATATGTGTAAACATTCTGAAAAGAATACGCAAAGTGCAGGCAATTTTTTTCGTAATTTTAGCTGGGATGATAGCACAGATAATCCTGGAAAACGGTTTCCTTGTCTCCGACATCTCGAACATTCTGCGTTTACTACATACTTACTGTGTGAACAATCAAGGTCCGATCGATAGTTTTGGACGAGCAGTTTTGTCACCGTTGAAAAGCCTTAAGAAAAGTACTCTAGAGTAAATTGGTATTAAGTGATTGATGCTCTCGATGAATGCCTCACAAAAGAAGAATCTAGACTAGGTATCATATATTTGCTCAAAAACAAACTCTCTCGTTTTCCATCTTAGCTGCAGCTTGCGATGACATCTTGTAATCAATCGTTCTTTTCCTGTACTCAAAGGAGTATAAAGAAGCTAATCATTGACCCTGAAGACTCTCGAAACACTAGAGATATTGAACTGTTTTTGACTACTCGATTTTATCAGAATGTTCCTTTGCTTCTAAGCATTAAAGCTTGGTTTGGCGATGTAAGCCGAGAAAACACAGCCAGGTTGATTTCTCTTTTGTAAAGCAAAAGTCAGGGAAATTTCCTGTTTGTTAAAGAAATGATCCGTCACTGGGAAGCTTCAAGAAATATAAAAAGTAATCTGTATGCATTGCCTGAAACGTTAGAAGAGTTGTATCATAATTACTTCCAAATATTATACCGTGGAGAGGAACATTTCAAACCTGTGGGACGGATTTTAGAATTACTCGTGGCAACTTTTCAGGCACTTACGCCGAAAGAAATTACTGACGTTCTTAGAGTTCAGGGGGCAAACCTGGAACAAGGGTATGATTTTCAAAACAGAATGAAGGGGCTGGGACATTTTCCGAGATACGGAAAGGATAATACAGTAACGCTGTATCACTTGTCTTTAACCGAATGGCTTACAAGCGACAATGGTAGAAATGAGAAATTTTACGTAAGTAGGAAAATAGGACACAATACACTTTGTGATTTTTACGTTAAAGGTGTTACCGAGGGAGGTAAGCGTGCGTTATTGAAATACAGTCTCCCATTGGCGCAACACATCGCTTACGGCGGTTGGAAGGAGGTATACGTAGAAAAAATTCTCAGATATCCTACTCAGGTTGTCAATTCGTCGAACCCTGAAAGTAATAGGACGGTTTTGCACCTTGCAGCCACCATTAATAACACAGACGTGCTTGAGCTTCTATTGCGCCACTGTAATGATATGAATTCCGTTGATAATTTTGGAAAAACACCCGCATTTTTAGCGGCTGAGCATGGACTTGTAGACAATCTTGCGTTAATGGTGAAGAAAGGAGCCAATGTTAATCTAAAAACAAAATCGCTTTCGTCGCTGGATTTCGAAAGTTACCGTAACATTCCCGATTTAGTTTTGGAATCGAAATTGAATTTTAGGGGAGCCACTATGCTTCACGCTGCAGCTCATGCAGGCCATCTGAAGGTTGTTAATTTCCTTCTAGACAACGGAGCTTTTATTTCCGTAGTAAACGAGGTCAACCTAACGGCACTTCAGATAGCCGCTGAGAAAGGACATTTAGAAGTTGTGAAAGAATTACATAAGGCGGGTGAAGTGGCCGATCAAACTGCTCTTCATCATGCAGCAAAAAACAACAAGTTAGATGTGGTAAAATATCTTTTGGGTATGGGTGTCAAGGATACATGCATGAGATGTGATGGCTCTTTTTATTAGTTTAAGTCGGAAATGCACCGGTTACAGTCTAGAGTTTTAATGACATCCAAGAGTACGCTGAAGTCTCGTATGGTGAGTTATTGGATGATAAACATTTAATCTATTGCGAAACTGCGCTCCACACAGCAATATCTTCAGGCCATAATAAGGTAGTCAAGGAGCTTATATCTAAAGACAATTAGTCTGAATGATCCTGACAACTAGCGTGTAAGGATCATTCAGAAAGAACACCATTACACGAAGCTGCTAGAAGAAATAACAGGGAAATAGTGACTATTCTGCTTAAGGAAGATCAGACAGAAATAGAATTAACATGCGATTACGAAGATTATCAATATGACAGTTTCTATGGCAATCTTTTAATCATGAGTGACGCAGAATTGATGGAATATAAAAAAGATAAATGCCCTCGTGGATACACACCTCTCCGCTTAGCCGCTAGGTATGGACACTGGGAAGTTGCCATTGATCTCCTACGAAACAGGGCAGTGGTTGGGGCCAAAGACTTTCTGTGAGTGACTCCACTTCATATAGCCGCTTGCCATAATCACCGACATGTGGTGAGGGTCCTTGTTAAGTTCGGTGCTAACATTAGTAGCAAAACTTTGAACGGATCGACGCCTCTTCATAGTGCTGCAGCATGTGGGGCTTTGGAGGTAACTGACCAGTTAGTTTACCATGGAGCGATCCTTGATGCAGCTGATGACAATAACCTCTCAGCATTGCATTATTGTATCCTTGACGTACATTCTAACCATTTCAGAGGTCATCCCAGGCTTGCAAAGTTTTACGATGATGATAAGAACTACGTAAGGAACACAAACTTTTTCCAGTGGCTGGATGTATTTATCAATTTGATGATACTCGGTTCCAATGTAAATGCAGTCGATTTACATGGTCGGTCGGTGCTGTATTTGGCTGCTAAAAATGGTTTGGCCGACGCTGTCAACGTCCTCATGCAAGAAAAGTCACAGCTTGACGTTTTGATAAGTCTGGTGAAACACCACTGGCAGCAGCTATCAAGAACGTCGCAGTGGAACCAAAGCAATGGATGTTTTTGACTGGAGATACCATAGATCAGCTTCAAAAATATCTAAGTGATCACGAAATGGTGGTATATCTTCTTCTCTCATCTGGAGCGTCATTGGCGAATTGTAATCATTCTAGGGTGAGCTTGTTCAACCATGCTATTATGAAAAATCGGCTGCTCATCGTTCAGCTTCTGCTATTTAAAGGAGCAAGTGTCAACTGTAAAGATAACCAAGGAAGGACACCTCCCCTAACTTATCTTCAAGTTGGTGGTGACTGGGTAGAAGTGGTCCTTAAACGGTTTAATGCTTCAGTTGATATAAAGTGTGGAGAGCCATTCAATACCTCTGAGTTACATTTGATTTGTTATACCCCTCCGAGCATGATAGATGACAATTTTTTCCAATAAATCTCTTGTAACGATAACTCGTGCTTTTCTAAAACAGGACCTTTATTCACAGCAATTGAAAATCACCCTTTGAAGTACAAACTAATCGATTCCTGTCTAGATGCTGAAGGGTTTACACCTTTACACAGAGCAGCGCAAGGAGCAAGCATAGTTGCTGTTTCCAACCTCATAAGGCTCGGTGCAAACCAGAGTTCGCTTAGCCCAGATGGGTACGATGCTTTGAGCTCTTCTCCATGCTGGGAATACCTCATGGTGGTTTTCCGACCAATATGGTCACTTGAAATTTTACAAAGCTTCTCTTGTGGCGCTGGACCTCCTTCGCTATAAAATGAAAACATGTGGCTTTCAAATCATATGTGACTCCAGTAAAGCCGAGCTGACTCTATACCACTTGGCAGCCTCTCGAGGCCTTCTACACTTTATTAAGGAGATCTTCAAAGATAAAGACTTCCATCAGTTAGATGTTGATTGTCCTAACAGAGATGGAATAACACCTATGTACTTAGCGAAGCTATCGAGCAACCGCGAGGGTAGTGATGTGTTTACAAATTCAAACCCGTGGACCGAGGTTGTGGAGTTTATTGAGAATCTAGGGGGTCAGATGCAGTATCCAAGTAGACATGCCGAATACAATGTCATCTATTACAGGTTGTACGACTCGATTCCGAAGGAAGCAGAGGTGAATTTAAGACCCGGATTTCGTGATTTCTTCGCCGAGTTTTTGTCTCTTGCTCATGGGCATACGACTTCTACGAGTTGTGATTCTATAATTTCACACAGACTTGAGTTTCGTTTTGGACATCGTAAATTTGAAATTTTTGTAGAATTAATCCAGCAATTTCTGCTTTCAAAACGTCGAGGTTTTCAGCAAAGGATACCAAACTCTGCGTGTCTGCGTAAATGAACTTATGAGGGTATTTTTATGGTCGCACAAATATTTTGCTTCTAGCCATGCATATGGTGAGTTAAAATTTTCCGAGTTAGAATTGAGACTATTTTATATTATTAGAACCTGGCATGAGGAAAGATTTGGTTTGTTACCTTGTTACAAAATTGCTTTTTCCAAATACGGACCGTATTTCGTAGATAAGAGGTACATTCAAACACTTGTTAGACAGTATGAAGACAACTTGCTGCTAAACCACTTAGGTACGATCTGTCATGACGTCCAACTAAGCGAAATTTCAGGACTTTTAACCCAATTTTCTCTAATAAATACAATAGCGGTGAGATCGGATACCGGTACTATCCAGACTTTATAAGAAAGCGAATGGGATGGCAAACAAGTAGCCAATGGATAAGTAAATTTTTTTTAATATTGGCCAGCCGAGTTCATCATTAAATTTGCCATGGGGATGTACCCTCAATACGATTATCTTAAAATTCTTGACGTTGGATTGGAACCAGGGTCTCGTGTTTTAATCCATAATTGAACTTGATCTGGGCTGAGTACAACTTTTACAACAACGCCATTTTACCTTCAGGCAAACACAGCACAAGTCCAATCATTTTTAAATCCCGAAAACAATCTTGAGAGGATTCTCCCCAACCCCAACCCCCCCAATCCAAAAATGAAGTCCATCCTCAGGGGTTATGCATGGAATTGCTATTTACCTGTGAAGATGACAGTGTCCCAAACGTTTTGTCCTGCATGGATATTTATCAAAACCACTTCGTACATATTTCAATTTGTGTACGTGCGATGCTGTTTGTAAAATGGATGGGAAATGGGGCTGCCAATGCCTAAATCAAGCCATGAATCACATGCTGTTTCGCTTGATTTGCCCCCGCCCCGACTCGTCCTTGCGCTTTGTGACACATTTCTTTTTATCCTTTCTATTTCCTGAATACGGGCAAGCATTAGTAATGTTTGATTCACGGAAAACAGACCTAAAAATCAAACTCTGTTCGCTTCTATTTCTCTCTCTCTCATATTATACTTAATCAGCAGTATAAATACATTTTACTTGCCGGCTGGGAGGTCCGTAAATTTAAAACTGTAACAGAGGTCTTTAGGGCTAAGGGTAGCATTTTCAAGGCCAGGATCGCAGTTTTTCACCCTACAGAACGGGAAATATATTGTTCATTTTTTCCTCTCTCTACTTTAAGTCGAGTCTGCTGCCTGCGGTTTCCAAAGGAATTTTATAAACACAAATTTGTCATTATTGTACTTGACTCAGTGTCCAAATACCGTTTGTCATAGGCCTTATGCATGTTTACGTCGAAGTACGTAATTCCACCCTCAGCCCAGAACACTTAATATAGCTGCAAACGCTAATCACTCGTATTCAAACTTTACTAGAACACACATCCGTTCATCGAAAATTTAATAAACTCGACAGGTCACATTGTTGAACATGGTAACTGAAAATAACAAAATTACAAACATGTGAATGAGCATAAAATATCTTACAACGTGTGAGTGAAAGTACTGGAAAACGACAAAGCGAAATAAACAAGGACACTTACAAGACAAATGGGACCAAACCAAAAGACGAAAAAATTAAACCCAAAGCACGATATGATCCGCAAACTAGACAACTAACCAAATAAATTACGCGCGAACAGAATATATATGATATGCAAGTAAAAAAATATAACAAGTACAAAACTGGTAACTGACAAAGGACACTCATGAAGACGAGAAACTAAACACCTAACATGAAACTATGAAACAACAACAGCAAAAAAAAAAATAATACAAATTCTTGCGCCTACACTTAATTCTAAAGAGCACCTTCATGAAAACATCAAGAAAGTAACAAAGAGTCACGGATACTTTGATGCAAACGAGGCTTGGGGGTAAATTCTCAGTAAATTAATTCATCACGCATAGTAGCTACTTTAAAATCTCCTACGTGCATCTCGACCGTTGAAATCTCTAAACCGTTTTCTTTCATCGTAGTATGTTGCAGCGAAAGATTCAAGCTGATGCATAAATGTTGATCTTTTTTTGAAACAGTGTACTTCCAGTGTACTTCCAGTGTACTTTCAGCGCGCATTTCCCGCAATTAACTGAAAAGGCGGAGAATTAATTAAGAGAATTTATCAGCTCCTAACGAATTCATGTCAATCGTACTGTTTTGAAAGCTCGAACACCATTGCGCTAGATAAGATAGATAAGACTACATAACACCCTCAGGCTCTCATTTTTATTCTCCTCTCGCTTCCCTTGCAGTCAGATTGCCCCCTAACGAATTATGAAACTTCGTTAAAAATGAGAATGATGAAAATATAGAACCAACTCAAAAAGAACCAAAGCTTCTCCGTGTCATATTTGAAATTTTTATCAATGAAAAAAACCGATATGTAACTCCATCCCCTCTTTCCTTTTGTGGGATTTCTTTGTAACGAAAATGGAGAAAGTTCTCAGGCTTCTTTTCGTTCCTTTTTCACTTTCTGGATCAAAATTTATCTTGTGTTCAGGGTAATAAGTTGAGTTTTCGTCTTCTTCGTGGTAAGCTCTGTAAATTATGAATCTCTACGTAGTTCCTGTGCAGAGTAAGAGTATCTACGCCATTCTTTTCGCAGTTGTAAATTTGAATTTGCCGTCTTTCGAGAGCAAACATAAATGGCTCAAGAGGACTTCTGTGGAAACAGTCCGTATAGTAATATTCTGACAACGAGAGAACCAATCAGAACCCCCCTTCCCCCCCCCCCCCCATGTATCTCGCGGTTACCTTGCGATCTAGCTATTCACCCTATAATAAATGAAATTGTCTCCATGAGAACTGGAGGTAGGGTATATATTTAGAAATCTGAGGGAGGGGGGGAAATGAACATCAAATATATACGTTTTTTTTTTCTAGTTTCATTATTCTATTTTTATTTATTTCAGCTAAAAGTATCACAATCTCTGTGCAGATTCAAGACTGCTATCTCTTGTTTGTTCAGCTTACAACGCTGCTGTAAGATACTGATGGAGACATGTTACAATAAAATTTACTAGACGGGAAAGAGTCGCTTAAATTTGTCAAATTTGATGTTTAACATTGAAATTCTTAACCAATTTAATATATGGTTGAAACGATCAATTATACAGTCTAAGTGTCAAAGAAATCTTGACGGGGGCTTAAAACGAGTTCTTGATACTAAAAGTATTTTCCTTAATTTTTCTGTAAGCAAAGAAATTCGAGTTTTTGGTTCAAGTCCAACATTAAGAATCTTTATATAGTCGTACTTACGATAGAGGTCGAAGGAAAATTTAACTAGAAATTCTAACGGCCAAACATGAGGATTACTCTCGTCATCAACAGTCCATCCCATGCGCTTCCATGCGAAGCTTTGATGCTTGGAAAAATATGCGTTGAACTCTAGGTAATTAGCGTTGGTTGAATGATGAACGTAATGGGAACCAAATCCAATGTGCAACCATAAACAAATTGTTCGCAGATACCAAAGCGGAATGCTGTTTTCATACCGCTCAATAAGTTGTTTAGATTTTCTGTCATCCTGGAAAAATGGCCGATTATTATCGAAGACTATCTTATAACATGCAAAGTGTTGGAATACTTCCTTATGCCAAATCATCATTAAATGGTAAAGAAGTGAGTTTATGTGGTACAACTTGATTTTGAGTGGAAGCTTGAACCGGAACACTGCAGGATCCGAGTGTCTTGTACATTTCGAAAAGGAATAATAGAATGCCTGATATACCTTCTGACAAATATTCAAATCCCGTAAAGCAAGTGTCACAATGTTCACAAAAGAGCCCTGGTGATTAAGCAGTTCTAGCTGGCTTAATAGTTCTTTTGAAATTTTCAATGTTAAAGAGGGGTTACCAATCTCATTGATAACTGGGACTACTTCTGATTTGGGTCTGCAGTCCATTGATGTGTAATTCTTGTAAGTAGATAAAAGTCGAATGACAAAACTGCGAACGTCAGGCCTAGGATTCAGTTTGAAGCCCGTTGGAATCCAACCATACAAACGGTTGTAGATCAAATGTAGTTCAGCATCTCTGTCTGGATACTGTATTTGACCTCCCAGGTTCTCAATAAACTGTACAACTTCAGCCCAAGGGTTGTAAAGGTCAATTCCGATCATATTACTACTGTACAGTTTGGCCAAGTACATTGGAGTAATTCCGTCCTTGTTTGGGCAATCAACATTTAACCTATGAAGTTCACCGTCCCTGAAGATCTCCTTAATAAATTTCAATAGCCCACGAGAGGCTGCCAAATGATACAAAGTCAGTTCAGATTTGCTGGAGTCACACACAATTTGGAAGTCAGTTTTCATTTTGTAACGAAGTAGTTCTAAAGCCACATCAGAAGCTTCATTCATTTTTAGTTGTTCAACTTGAGTTCTCTTCAAAGGCCATAAATTACTTCCACCATGAAGAATAGCTAGCGTGAGGGCGTCATGTCCCTGTGGGCTTTGTAAGGACACATCGGCACCATTTTTTATGAGGTTACGAACAGCAACTTTGTTGGCACCCTGAGCAGCTCTGTGTAAAGGTGTAAATCCTTCGGCATCCAAACAAGAATCGATTACTTTGTACTTCAAACGGTGCCTTTCAACAGCTTTTTCTAAGGAACTCTCTTTTGAACATGTTCGATCATCACACGAGATTTGTTGAAAAAAGTTGTTATCCTCAAGCTTTGGAGAGAAATAACACATTAAATGAAAGAAAGATGTGTTGAATGGCTTTCCACACTTAATCTTCATGAAGCCTTTCAAGAAGATCGCATCTACCAATGGCCAATCTCCACCATTATGAAGAAAAGCCACAAGAGGAGTTCGTCCTAAACTATCCTTACAGTTCATGTTGGCTCCCTTTAAAAGTAGCAGCTGTGCAATATATGGCTGTTTATTGAGGAGAGCGCGATGTAATAGGTTTTCGCCGGAGCTATTACACTTTGTAAATGAAGCACCGGACGAGAGAAGAAGGTGTACGACCAAATCATGATCTTGCAAATATCCACGCAAGGCCTGAAAGTTCTTCTCATGAAGGATTACGCGCGAATGCTCAGGTAGTATTCTGGCCTTTTCGATTGCCACTTCCAATGGTGTTCTCTTCAACCCGTCGTGCATTTCAAGCTTCGCTCTTCTTTGCAAAAGAACATTAACTGCGTCAGCCAAACCGTTTTCAGCTGCTATGTGCAATGCTGATCGACCTAATTTGTCAGCAGCATTCATATCAGCACCGAGTAGGATCAAATGAATGAAGGCATCTAACCACTGATAAAGATCTGTGTTCTTCCAGTAGATTCCCTCCTTATAAAAACTAGCAAGATGGCCTCTACGGTCAACCGTTACCAGATGCAGTAACTTTTCGTCACTCGTCGAATTCACAAGAAGTCGTCGATCAAGTTGATTTGAAGTTATATTTCGTATGGTATAATGCAAAGGCGTGAGCCCGCTGTCATCGATTTGGTTAATGTTTGCTCCATGGTAAATTAACTGGCTAATTGCCTCAATAGCACCACATGCTGCAGCACTGTGAATGGGTGTCGAACCATTAAATGATCGGCTATTAATGTCAGTACCGAGTTTCAAAAGAATATATATGATATTCTGGTGATTATGACAAGCAGCCACATGAAGTGGCGTTGCACCAGAGCAGTCCTTAACTCCAACACCTGCTTTGTTCTCCAAAAGAGTAAGAGCAACTTTCCGATATCCATAGCGCGCAGCCAGATGGAGGGGGGTATATCCGCAGTGGCATACATCGCCGTGGTATTCACTGGACTCTTTATAGCTCAGCACCAAACTACGCCCTGTTTCAGTATGTGGCTGAATGTCCTGCCATCGATCACATGTTGAATGTATCTTTGTTTCATCTTTCGAGAGCAGAAATTTGACTAATTCTGTATTGTTCTTTCGTACGGCCTCGTGCAGTGGTGTCCTTCCTGAGTAATCACGACACGCTAACACCCATTTGTCTCGTGAGACGAGCTCCTCGATTATTGCCTTATGACCTAAGGAGACTGCTGCGTGGAGCGCAGTATTACAGAAAATTAGATGTTTGTCGTCGAACAGTTCGCCGAATTCAATGTTTTTGGATACAGCATCACGTTTAATGCATTCATCGTCTATCAGCGGGCCATTAGCTGATTTATAGCTTGATTCGCAGTGTTTGTTGATGGGAAAAGAAAAGTTTTCTAACCTAACTTGGCTTTGATAACGGTGTTTTGTCTTCAGCCAGTAGAGAGATCCATCACATCTTATGCATTTATCCTTGACACCGATTTGTAAAAGGTATTTTACAACGTCCAGCCTGTTGTTTACGACTGCATGATGTAGAGCAGTCTGATCTGCAACTCCACCGGATTTGTAAAGAGTCTTAACAACCTCTACATGTCCATTCTCAGCAGCAACCTGAAGTGCTGTTAGATGAACATCGCTTTCCGTCGAAATTAATGCACCGTTTTCGAGAAGGAACCTAACAACCTCCAGGTGGCCTCCGTGAGCAGCACCGTAGAGCATAGTGGCCCCCCAAAATTTTGATTTAATTTCAGAAAAAGGAATATAAGAGTCGTGTATCTTATATGCGTCTATACCATTCAGGATGTTTTTGGTCTTTACTGACTTTGTTTTACGATTTACTCTAGCTCCTCTCTTCACCAATAGAACCAGATTTTCAACAAGTCCGTGCTCGGCCGCCAAAAATGCAGGTGTTATTCCACGCTTATCAGCACAGTCTATGCAACTAAAATGGCGTAGCAATAGTTCTAATACATCTGTGCTATTGATCGTAGCAGCATGGTGCAGTAACGTCCTACTGTTTCCTGAGTCTGATGAATTGACAACGTGTGAAGGAAAATTGAGAAATTCTTTAACATATGCCTCCCTCCAACCGCCACAGGCAATGTGTTGCGCCAAAGTAAGAATATATTTTGACAGCGCAGATTTACCTCCATCACTAATAAGCCGAAGGTAATAGTCACAAAAAACTTCGTGACCTTTCTTTTTGCTGACATAAAATGGGCCATTTTTATTGCTGTTGCCTGTAAGCCACTCGGTTAGAGACAAGTGATACAACGTCAATGTGTTATTCTTTCCATATCGTACAAAATGCCCAAGTTCTTTCATTCGATCTCGAAAATCGTAATCTTCTTCCAGTTGTTTTTCATTCATCTTGAGTACGTCAAAAATTTCACGCTGTGTCATTGGATGAAACGTTGATACGAGTAATTCTAACACCCGACGCACAGGTTTAAATTGCTCTCTTTTATCGTATAATCTTTGGAAATAACTGTGGTACAATTCCCCTAATGTTTCAGGTAGTGCATAAGGATCATTTCGTTTGACCCTTGTGGTCTCCCAGTGATGAATCATCTCCTTAACAAACAGGAAATTTCCCTGACTTTTACGTAACAAGGCAGATATCAGTTTCGCAGTGTTTTCTACGCTGCTCTCACCGAACCAGGTCTTCACTCTATAAAGTAGAGGACCATCTCGATAAAACCTTGTGGTCAAAAACAGTTCGATGTCTTCGATATTTCGAGAATCTTCAGGATTGATGCTTAACTTGGCGATGCTACCTGAATTTAAAGATTCACTCGATTCATTACGGGATGTCAACACAAGTTTCAGCCAAGATGGAAACCGAGGAAGCTTATTGTTGAGCAAATAAACGATGCTATGACTTGTTTCTGTCTGTGTGAGACATTCATCCAGAGCATCTATGACAACATACCAATTCTCCTTAGGTACATTTGTCAGGCTTTTCAGGGGTGACAAAACTGCTTGTTCGAAGCACCCCACAGGATCTTGGATGCCTACACAATCAGTATTTAGTGATCTCAGAATATAGGAGCTGTTCGAGACAATGTAACCATATTCTGGGATTCTCCGAGCTATCATTTCTGCCAAATTACGAACAAATTTGCCGGCAATTCGTGTATTTTTGTCAGAATGTTTGCAAAGATGGTATCCCAATATATGCTCGTGGATAGTGCGACTTGACGAACGGGAACAAACCAATTGGGCAGCTAATGCAGACTTACCAGCCCCTGGATCTCCGACAATCATGACGCCAGAAACAGTACTTGGGGGATGGAGGGCGTTTTCTATCTCATTATATAACCATCGACGACCAATGAAGTTTTCTCGAGCCCCAGCTAAGTAGTCGGTCAAGTTGAACTCTTTGGTGTCGAATGGAACACTGACATCTTCAGCTGGACATCCTTTAACATAAATAAATGACGTGAATGAAAGTGATCCTCGCAGTAATGTGCACTACTTAGGCAGTAGTGAAAATAGGGCCTGAAAAAAAAATGCAGGTCTGTACGGGATTTGAACCCATGACCTTTGCGATACCGGTGCAGCGCTCTACCAACTGAGCTAACAAGCCAACTGGGAGCTGGTCATGATGTTGGTTCTAAATAAACCCGTGAAGTGATGAAATAAACGGTTAAGAATATATGAAAGTCATATATTTGAACTGCGGATAAAGACGTGAATGAAAGTGATCCTCGCAGTAATGTGCACTACTTAGGCCTTATTTTCACTACTGCCTAAGTAGTGCACATTACTGCGAGGATCACTTTCATTCACGTCTTTATCCGCAGTTCAAATATATGACTTTCATATATTCTTAACCGTTTATAAATAAATGAGTATGCTTTTTTTTCATGGGCTGATTGACTTTATTCTTTTGCTTATATCATTCACTTGTTGCATACGAAATGCTAACGTTGTCTAAGGAGATAGCTGACAGTGATGTTTACTGAACTTTCAAACCAACAAAGCTAAAAAGAAAACATATCATAATAACTCACCATCCCCATATGACTTGTCGTCTAAATTGCAAATGAAACAAAAAAAGACCAAGAACATCGTCAAAGTACCGACCGGCTTTTGCCTTATAGCTGTAGCACCTCTGACCAGATAGCATCCAACGTTAAGCAGACGGTAGGCAACGAGGCGTGGCACGGAAATGGTACCTTTGGTTTTTTTCTCCAAGTTTTCTTGGGCCTTTTGGAGCTTTCGTAGTTGACCCTCCACACGACTACGTTGTTTCCTATTTTTATTTGATTCCTTTTGAAACATTTTAATTTCATTTTTATGGTCTGTGATGTCATTTTGAATCACCTGTATAAAATGGTACAAAACCTCTGCTCTACAAAAGTGCATGTCTCTTTTGCTTTTCAGAGTTGAGATTTCCTGCAGGGCATTCTGGACATCTAAATCACTCGCAAGGGCTGGATCTTTGAGTAGTTCCTCAATTGCGTCAAAAGCATCCTTCTTTTCTGTTTCGGACAACTCCAACTTCAGTACATGAGCCCATTTTGTGTTTCGAATGTCTCGAACATCTTTTATCAGTGGGCGCTGGACGGTGAAATGATTGCACCAGAACATTAAGTTAAGAATATTGGTAATTTCCAAGTCATCGACACTTTCTATAACCGTATGAATTCCGACATCTGGGAGGAAAAGTTTAACTATCTCCCAAGGACCAATATTTGGGTCCAACCATTTACTGGAATCACTTTGCTTCCAGTTCAACCTTCTTCCGAGGTGGTAACCTTGAAGGGCGTTTGCCCATTTGCAGGCTCCCATGTCATGGTACTGATTTGGTTTCCTTCCCGGATCATAAACACAGATGCACGCTCCAGCTGCAATCGCTGCCCTTAAATTATTGTAGAAGGCCTCAGTTTCTCTCTTTATAAAAGGGCGAAGGCCTTGGCAGAGATGTGTTGTCAACGCCCGTCCAAGGGAAATCCAGTTTCCTTCTTCAGGTGTTTTCAGTTGAATGAATTCTTTAGATGAACATCCAGACATTGCTGTTTTAAGGAAAACATTGAATCGGTTAATGTACAGAGGGAATTGGTGTCACTAACATACTATTCACAACTAGCTACTGTTTAACTGTTTACGTGATTCTCAGCTTGGAAACCTGATTTTCCCATTGCGGTGATTGCCCGTTTATGTATCACAATTTATCAACCATTGATAATCCCACTGTATAAATACTTACTTTATTCAGTGTACCCTTACTCAACACTTAACGAGCTTTGCCCGTCGAAAATTTTTTTGCAAACTAAGCCAAGAGGTCTAAGAGCGCATTGAATGACTTGAATGCGCTCCAGGCTAATCCTAACTGCAAGTGAAGTTCATAGTTAGCGTCTCAGCATGATCGAGGTGTTTGATGAGAATTCTCGGTAATTGTGGTGAAAACGAAGGGTCTTCTAGTCTGCAACATAGCTTCATTGTCATCTTATCGAGTGATAACCACAGCTGCTTGATATCAGTCATTTTTCAGATATGCGATAGCCGCGTTAAGTACATCTGAAGGTCACACAGCAGAACGATTGACTTATCGTTTTAGGATATTGACCAGGTAGACGAAAACAGAACGGACAAAAAACAAAGACGAATTTTTTGAAAGTTCCCTTTTTATATCCTAATACAAGGGCAATCATCACGCAAGAGAAGTTGGTAGTAAAGCAGAAAATGTCAATGCAATGGAATATATCACAAGAAGAGGTATTTTTTTAATCGTAATTTTATGTATTAATTTATCAATTTATCTACTTGTAGGACGAAATATCCGCTAGATCAAATTCGAAAGAGAACAATTTATGTATAGATTTTGGGTGTGAAACACCGAAGCTTAAACATGTCTAAATCTTATATAAGAGATCCTTATATATGTGCACTGCGGTGAAGAAACGAATATAAGAGATCCTCGCAGCTATAAACACTACTGAACTAGTAGTTGAAATACGACCTCTGCATTTAAAGATTTCTTGTATTCCTTTGTAGATATAACAACAGATGCTAACAAGCCATTTTTAGAGATATTTGGCGAAAGTTCTTAATGCTTCTTTAGACATGCGAAAGTTCTCATTCCAGTCCTGTTCTTCCCAATCTTGGCAAGTCTCTTCCCAAAATATCTGCAACTGGGGTTCAATACGGCGAACTAGAAGATGATTGAGAAGAAATCGAAGCATAAAAAAGAAAAACAATGACGAAAGGAGACGTCTCCGACAGACATAACGATTGAACCGTCTCTGTGCGTTTCTCTGTCGGTTTTGTGTAATTCTGGGGTTTTCCCTCTGCCGTGACTGCGCCAACAATAGCAGGATATTGTGATTTAAACTGACCCCCATTTTGTTTGCGTGTTTATTTTTATTGGCAACAATCAACATCAAAACGAGGCTGCGCAATAACTAACCGTGTCTGCGGTGTGAACGGTTCTTGAATAACACGTTTTATGAAACCATGTTTAAAAAAATTACGTTCAATGAAACTTGTTAAAATTAGTGTAAACAGGGCATTAGTTTACAAGCCTCAGACTAACAAGCTTCCGGATACCACCTATGCCTTTTCCGATCAGCTTCCATTGTTTATTGCAGCAGTAAAAGATATATGTACACTCAACAATTTTGAAGAATTGCTCAACATCTTATTTAGCCAAGTAAACTGTCAACATTTCGGATTTAAAATGCGACTGTTAATTACAACTACAAATGATCTGTCTCTGTCTCTATATATATATAAGTTGTTTCACCGCTGTCCGCTCGTACTTAAGTTTTTTTTTTTCTTTCCCTGCTCGTCGTCCGTGATGTAGTATCGTTGGCACACGGTTAGGCATTACATGAAGGCTTCGCTTCCCGTGGGCTAGTAACTGTGAAGCCGTGGGAGCAAATAATTTGTAACTCGCGTTTTTAAACGGGAAATCAAACCCGTGAGGTTGTAGTTGAATAGTAATTCTCAGTATTTTGCAATTTCTAATCAACTCGCAAAGCAGCAATATCGGCATAGCTAAAGCTTTGCCAACATGAGGAAATTGTTATAATTCAATTTCATAGAGGAAGGGTTTTAAGTGAAAAGAAAAACGCGCAAGAAGTTTAGAAAGGACACTAATAGGTAGAATGCGGCGAGAGGAACGTGAAAGAGAACAAAATAAAAGCATCTAAGTAAAGAGGCGCATATCTAGCGAAGAGCAAAGTAAGAAGGAAATACAAAGAGCTCCAGAAAACAGACTAATAGAGAGGTCATTAACAAAGAGAAAGCGAACTACAAAGGATCCAAGAATGAATAGGAGGTAAGTCGTGTCTTATCTGAGTTTACTCTTGCGCTAAGGCCCAGAAAATTCAAACCCTTCACCAGCTTCAGTTTGTAATTCAAATCAAGTTATTTCTTATCCTATCGTTTGGAATGTTTAATACAGTCGTGGTGTTAAGGGCAAAGAAGTTATTTCACGGAGTTGTACCTGGAAAGTTTTCAAATGATAGCGAACGGCGTGAGAAAGTTTCCATCATTCTCTCTTCAATTAACTAACGCAGGGTTTATTTAAATCATTTTAGAAAATCGCGCTTTGTCGAAGATGTGTTGTTTTACCCCCAGAGGGAAGAAATGGCCTCTCCGAAAATTGATTTAAAATGAGATTGAGTCAGCGATGTTCATGTTTACATTGAGTTTGACGCGTTAATTTGATTTCAGTGTGAGAACCCGTCAAACATATGAGAATTAAATGACGGACCGCAAATGTGTGGTACAAACAAACTCACGGGTTCGATGAAGTTATTCCTACCATAAGCGTCCCAAGCTTACGTCTCGAGAAAAAGCAAACGATTAATTCATGAAAGCGTCACGTGTTGTGTGATTCGGTGTTCAGTTACGAGTGGGAAACGAAATAACAGTGATGGCAAGACAAGCTTAAAACGGCAGAGAACGCCGGAAACCACAACGGACACACAAGATATGAGTAAGTTCTAAAGGTTTCACCAGTAAAATGTTCATATTTCGGGATGTTTACTGTTGTAAATCGACCATATTTCGTTCCCCATACAATTGCTCATAACGTGCTCAACTTCCGGTCAGTGTAAAACGCAGACTGCTGTGGTGGTCACTGAAACAAGGAATGACCTAAAATGACCTTGAGTGATTTCTTATATGACCTAAAATGACCCAAAATGACCTTGAGTGATACCTAAAATAACCTGATATGACCTTGAGTGAGGGTTTGGATGGGGTCAACCGACAAGCGACAAAGAGCGAAAAATACTACCGACTACCGACAAAACGAGAAAAAAATTACCGACTACCAGTAGAAAAAAAAAATTAACGACTACCGACATGGGCCGACATTATCGACATTTGTTTTCAGAAAGATGAGATCAGCAGAGCATTTTGTATTTTTTCTAGTTTACGAAGTAACCACATTCAAGGTAACTTTAGAATTTCCTGTCATCTTCTTACTTTTTGGCCGGAAGAGCGCGGGATCATTTTGCAGAACGATTTCCGGTACTCGAGCCCACGAAACCTCCCGCTCTAATATTTCAACCACGTTGTTTGTTCATACGGTCCAGCCATGTCAGCCTCATGAGTGGAATAATAAAAGTGATCGTGAGTCTTTTCCGAAAAGGCGAAGAAATCGCAATCGAACGCCACCGTAACCGGGGTCCGGTCGACAAAGATAAACACAAGAGCATTCAAATTTAAAAAACATCTGACAGAATTTTGGGATTGAAGGAGCAAGCTCATCAGTTTGGAATTGGTGGTTTCTCGCTGAAGCTCTTTCGCCTGGCAAAATCGTCCACGGGCAAATGCGAGAACTTTGCTACAGTAACAGATGGGCAGTGGCGACTAGAACTGCCAAATTTAATATCTGATGAAGGCAGCAGTGAACTCAACGGTACGTCGTAGAACACTCTATTAGTCAGAATAGTTTCTAAACATGTCCAGCGGAGTGTGATGGTTGGATCACTGTAGTAGATCTGTAGTTAAGTTGTAAGATTAAATATTTATGTTGTTTTCTACTCGTTCTATTTTTTCCATTTTCTGTTTTTCGTGAAAAGAAAATTTGTGTTGCAGAAACGAGCTAACTAATAAAAAAAATATCCCTTACAAATAATATTAGTCAGTAAGGTGGTTTAAATATAAGCTCCCATTTGTATTTCTGTGTAATGAATGACGCAACTTAACAGCATTAACTGTTTAGGCTGCAAGTCGTTGCATTTGACTTCGGTTGTTAAAATACAAAAATTCTCTAGGTTGACAATCTGTTGTTTATTGCATTTATAATTTAAAGCAAATAATGCCACATTTTATTGATTATTGCGGCTTGAGGTTAACAGTCGCGTTAATGGCACCGGGCAAATTGAAGTTGAGAATTTATCAAAATAGAAAACGAGCAGATATAAACAGCTAAAAATAAATCTTTTGGATAACCTGGCGTGAAACTACTCAGTCTTCTGTAGAATTTATGAAAGGAAAAATTCTTAAATCTTACATGTTCAACCACTTTTGGAACCACCTTCAGTGATGTATGTCGTGTTACATCGAAATGAGCAATTAACTTTTGCAGCTTCTTTTCTCTGTGGGTTAAGGAATAGATTTAGAGATAACGCCTAGCGTCACCTGAGCCTGCTAAGATCTGCTGACGAGAGTACTTAAAACAGGTCCTATTATCCAAGAAGTAACAAACTGGACCGGTAAACCCGTCGTGCTGCTTAGGGCGCCGGATGCAGGTGATACATGTGCGAGCAAGCAGAAGTTGATGAGCGCTTCCGGAAAAAAGTTCGTTCAAACAAATCAAAAGGGATTTGCTCTGTAGATAAGACTTTGTTTGTTACAGATGTTTCCGCTGGTGAAGTGAAGATCGTGACGAGGCTTGGAGAAACGATATCTTTTCTGAAGATTCTTGGCTCCCTTTACGACACGTTTGGAATTCATTCTAGGGACATGAAACTTTTCATTGAAACAAGCTAAACAGAACGTCACAAAGATCGACAACTATTTGAGAGGTAATGTGAGTAAGGTTAAGGAATGTTAC